TTACATAGTATCGCTTATTCAGCTCATATGCTGGGACGTACCGAAGTGTCAACGTGGTAAGCGTTTGTGGCATAATATCTAGTAAGAACATGCATATCTGGGTGTTGTTCCTCCATCTCATAATATGTTTCTGCGATCTCTGGATATCCGGTACTACGCTTCTACTAACCGGTAAGCATACGGACTCACTTCAAAGGCAAGTTTCTCACCCGCTCCATCGTAGCGCATTGACCCCACATCTGTGATCTTCTTCACGTAATCCATCTCGGCTACAGCTTTTACAAACATAAGTGTGCCCACGCATTCGTTCAGGGCCATATCCGGCTTTAACCGTCTTTGGTGGGTCCCAAGATGATTCAAGTCAAGTGACGTACATCAGAACAGGCCGTATCTAAGGTTAGTTCAATAATATAACATTTCTACAGTGGTGATCGTACGTGTTGTTGGTATCATTTCCTAGATGTGGAATGTCTGAACGCGCACACCAAGCCCACCTCTCCTTCATTGAGGCCCGATTCGCATGAAGTAGGATAGAAACGGGTGGCCCGCGTTAGGAATAGCATCATCTCCCCGTAAATGAGCACCATCAAGCAGAAAGTACAGGTATTTCAAGTATTTATTATACTCGGTGCCTGATGTCGCCAGCCTCATCATGACTGCTGCATCTCCATTTGGTCTCGATCGAAGGTTGGCGGTCCTCCCTACTCGTTATTAGCCATCACTGTCCGCTATACGTTTTGAGGTAAAACAAAAATGGCACAAAATCGCTCTCTCATGTGGAAACACTTTCTCCAGGTATCCAACTCACCCATACCCTTATCGAAAACGATAATCATGATCGTCTCCCAGGACGGATTGTAAAACTGAAAGGACTCAATGGTATCCGTCAGCCATTCAGCGCGTTCGTCTTCCATCAGACTGTGCTGAATGTATTCGCCCTGGATACAAAGCATAAAACACGGTAAGTAGAGGCCATATATGAGTACCGCTTATACTTTGGGTACAAAATCATGTATATGTAGGTATAGACCAGTAATAACGACACAATAGTCACGATTCCAGTAACTACGTATACATTATAACTTACTTGGCTATACACATCTTTCA